GTGTGCCGTTCGAGCCATTACGATCGGATGCTGTCAAGCTTATTCAATGGATAGTGTATCCCACTTGTTCTACAACACGCTTTCTCGGCAAGATACTAGTCAACAACAGCCTATGGTGAATGAGGTCAGTTATTCTTGGCATGCATCGCTTTATCGAATTTACACCAGACAGACTCTGCTTCAACATGCCCCATACATTGACGGCCAAACAATCCAATCGCTACTCCGGTCTCTCCGCTGAAGCACTGTCGACATGTACCTTTACTAACGCTGGGTTACGTATTGATGCTTTCGATGTCGAGGAGATGTTAGATTCGACGTTGCCCAAGTGGAAAACTCGCCCTTCCTTGACAAGCCATTTCACAGCGAGCATTAGATATACCAAGTGATATAAAGCTTGGTATAAGCCACGATATACTCACTTCAATTGACATAAGCACTCGCATATCTGCGTCATATAGGGGTAACAGCTACCAGAGAGAAGTTCGCCGCCGACCAACAACGTTTGCCGCACAGCCGGATTAGCAACGTCTCATGCGGCTTAAGCTTACCTTCTCCAGTTTTCTCTCCACGAAGTCGGCGCGTTCTGGAGCCATGACAAGCTTTCCGGATGATCGGCCGCGATCGCTCGGTTGCTGGGGTGGATCCACATTCTTCGTGCCAAGCTCCAATGACGTCGATCTGCACTGTCTCCATAGTCGCCGCATGGCTCCGCGAAACCTTCACATGCTTGCGCTCCTTGGCGGCATCCAGACGCGCTGTGCCTGGCCTTCACGTTCGGCTGGGACGAGAGGCAAGTGACGAGCGTGATGTCACTTTTCAATCGGCCCGTCTCTTCACGGCGCTACCACAACGCCTAACGAACATCAAAGTCGACACCAGAGGTTGACGGTGCATGCCATCTCACCAAGTGCATGAGCGAACTCGGGTGCGACGGCTGTGGAAATCTGGTACCTGACTTCTCTGCAGAAGCCAGGTCGGGACCTGTCCGATGCGCGATGGAAGGAGGAGCACATTTGGTATAAGAGTCGCCGTGCTCGACATATTGAAAGCCCATCATCACAACAATCAGTCTTCTTCACATCTCCATCCAACTCGAACCAAATACCCTCGTCTTTCAGAAGTCGAATCCCAATCAGTCAACATGCTCTTTTCAAAGCTCACCATCATCTCCGCTCTTGCGGCCTTCGCTGCTGCCCAGGACACTGACTTTGACTTCGACAACATCCCCGCGGAGTGCACTGATGTTTGCGCACAAGTCGGTTCCATCACCAATGGCTGCAAGAACGACAGCAGTAAGTATTGCATATATCATCCAAAAGCATGGCTCTAACCAACCCACAGATGACGACTCATCCGCCGTGCTCCAGTGCATCTGCACAGCCAACAACGCAAACTCGCTGATCCCACAGTGCGAGGCCTGCGTCAGGCAGTACAACGGCAACGACAACGACGATGGTAGTGACCAGTACCGTCTTCTCACCGACTGTGCATACTCCACCACCACCACCGTAGCTACAGGAGGCGCTGGTGCAGTCCAAACAACCGCTGTCGACACCAACACCGTCACTGACACCAACACTGTCTCCGTCACCTCTGTCATCGAGACTACTTCCGTTGCCGTCATCGTCACCACTGGCAGCGACGGCCTTGTTGCCACCACCACCGAGACAGACACCAACACCGTCCCCGCCGAGACCAGCAACCCTGCTGCTATGAAGACTGCTGGCGCCGCTATGGGTATTGGTGCTCTTGGACTCGCTCTCGGTATGTTGTAGATCAGTACCGACACCATCAAAAGTAGCAGTATCGTCTTAATCATTGGGCGTGGAATTTGGAAGCTCAGGTAGTACCCTTGGAGCTTGAAAAGGTCTATCGACTGTGCATGTAACGACTGTATATATAATGCTATATGTCTTATCTTACATTCGTATCGTCGCATAATGTATTGGACGTGATTCACTAAAATAACGAAATAAAGCGATGGCTTTACAAATGTTGTTGCACATTGTCTACTTGACCATCATCCCTTTGGGTATTCTGCCGACTACCACCGTCTATCAGCAGGCACATGTATCATTAACGCTGAAGCCGGGAGGGTCTCTTTTAGAAACAAGTTCACAAAGGAGATCTCGCTGATATATTAGAGGGATACGTCATCTTTTGTACCCTTCAATACCATCATGCTAAGTACCTCGTGTATGGCAAACATCCGTAGGCTGGCACCGATGCTTTCACAAGCCGTGACCGTAATCGGCAACCTAACACTGGGATATTGCTAACCCCTCCGAACACGGCTAGGAATCAGAAAGGCCCAGTTTCATGACTTTGAATTGGTTTCATTGTGTATCGTATAAATGGACGCTGTCCTTCCGGGTATCATGATTGCAAAGATCAGCACCCAAATTGCCATTGTATCCCAAACACCTTGAACTAAACAAGGCCCCGCGGCAAGCAGATGAACGATTGCAGTGGCCTGTCACGTTAGAACGACACAAACGTAGAAGTCCCATTTAGCACCTTGGAGTCATGTGCCTACTCCTCTGTTTGCATAAGCATCGACGAGCGCATCTTGACGTCTTCAAATCCGCGTCCAGTGTCAGCAAGCTTGGCTTTCTTGCCGGCGAGGTGATGAGCTTGGATGAATTCCGGGAGATTAGCCATAGCCAAGTCGCGGTATTTGGAGAGGTACGGCGCCTTGGGAAGAAGCTCACTGTACGCGATGCGACGGGTCTTGAACCACGTCTCGTTATGAAGGGCGGCGTAGGCACCAAGAGCAGTAAGGGCGTTGTTGACGGCAGTATCATCACACATAGGGGCCTTTCAATACTTGGCAGTGAACATGCCCGTCTCCAGTACCAACTTCTCAAACTCGTCAAAGGTAGGTGAGGATGGCTTGCCCAGACTGTTGGTCAGTTCGATGTGTGCATAGTGCCTGATGTTCTCCATCTCCCATTCGATAGCTATGATGAGCATATCGACATGAATATGCGAAGCCGTAATGCCTTTTGGGATGGGAGGCTTGGTGGAAGGCGGTGTAGTCGCATGATATAGCTGCTGTTGATCAATCAGCTTGACGACGCGGTAGTCGCCAACATGCTTGATGTGCGTGACACAGCAATCGATTGCATGAGGTGGGTGGTTGAGCATTTTGATCGTCTGTGTCATTGGCGGGCTCTTCGAGAAAAGTTAGTACCAGACCACTATATCGAAGCACCCAGCTGGGTTGTTTGTGCTTACCAAGTCCTTCGACATCTTCTGAGAGTAGAGCATGGCGATACCCCTAGGCACCTTCCAAGCGCTATCTTTGGGACCAGCAACGATAAGATCGCACAGCAAGCCATGATATAGAAGACTCAACATACTAATCTGATTAGAGCCGGCCTACTTGTGCGTGGACACGGGGTCGACGTTGGACATCAGCGCCCCACCACGCTATTCACCAATCGCGCCTGCATCGACTAGGAACAACGGCTAAACCCCGAGTACGCAGGAACGGCTTTGTGATAGTGTAGTCTATTCTATCCGTTTTATCTAAGTGTCGAGCTGGGTATACCAAACATGCATGCCCCCGCCTACGCTATCTTCTCAACCGTCAACGAACCCTCCGCACCACCCTCCAACGCAATGAGCCCACACGACTCAATCTGCTTCTTCCACTTAGTCGACTCATACCTCGCCGTAATTACCGTCAACCTCAGAACCGGCTCTTCTTCGCTGGAGCTCTCGCCAGCTGGTAGCGGAACGGGCGTAAACGTCCAGCGGCCGAACGACCAATTCAGAATATATCTTGCCCGACCTTCCGGTACTTTCTGATGCGCATCGGCATCAGCATCTGATGATTTCGGTGGCATTGAAGAGTACAAGATGCCTTTTATCCGGTATACCTCGTCTTTTGTAGGGTCCTCGAGGAGTTTGGCGAGTTTCGCAGTGTCGACACTACTATTTCCATCCTGGCTTTTCAGTGTGACTGTGAGGACCTCGACTTCGCTGGAATGATCATGGTCATGTTCATGCGCATGTTTGCTTCCGTTCTCTTCCGTGACACCTGCCAGCCTCGCGTCCAGTCCGAACACGATGTCCTTATCCACCCACCCTTTCCTGCTCTTCGTCCTGGGTATTTGTGGCTCCACCTCCAGCGCTAGCACTGCGTCTTCCACATCTTCCAACCGTCTCTCGCTGACAAGCTCGTGCTTGTTGAGAACAATGAGATCGGTGTATCGTGCCTGCATTTTCGCCGTGTAGCTTGTGTCCTCGTAGCCCTTCCAATTCTCCACGTCAATCACACTCATGACTCCATCTAGAACGTATTTCCCCGTCTCCCTGCTCAGTCGGTTTACTTCCATGGCGAGGGTTGCGGGGAACGCGGAGCCTGAGGTCTCGATGACTATGCGGTCAGGGTTTACGTCGTTGGCAAGCGTTTCGAGGGCGTCAGAGAGCTGCCCGACGAGGTTGCAACATATGCACCCATTGAGCAGTTCTTGTACACCGGATATGGCAGCCGAGGAGGCGAGCGCTGTGTCGACTTTGATATCGCCATATTCGTTCTTTAGGAGCGCGAGCTTGTACGTTTTGGGTAGTTGGGGAATCAGGTTCAGGATGAGTGCTGCGAAGTTGTTAGCACGACTTTGACCATTTTCGATTTGATTTACACGTTCTCGACACCTTCTGCACGCGTAATGCGATGTGCTGGTATCGTGCTACTAGGTGCTGAAAAGAAAGCGGCTGAAAATTACTACATACTGGTTTTACCCGAGCCCAAGAAGCCCGTGATGATGGTAATAGGTATCATGGCGATGACGACAACAGCACAGACGCGTCGATCCGACTGAAACCCCTCAAAGAAGCAAAACGACCTTCCAAGGTTACAGTCGCAAGGTTCCTCGCACGTGCAAGTCGCGATGGCGGAGCTTGGCCTCGCGAAGGGACTAGTTTCAGGTTCCGCGATGGCGGGGTGTCTGATGACGTCGGCGCGCATTGGGCGGGGCAGTGTCGACCAAGACCAGCATCGCATCAGGTACGTCGCCCGTAGCCTCCTTCCAGGCTGCGACACGCACCTATCAAACACACTTAGCTCCAATACCAAGGCTGCTGTCATCAAGGACTAGATCTTGATTGACCCCATTGACCCATCGGTGCTCCCGTTTCCAAGATCAACCATCCCTGCCATGCAATCAGCTGGTTAAATAGCTCTCTCTCCTCCAGTGCACTCAGCCTACCACTCATCACAACCTCACACGACTACTTTCACCCTGACTACTGTGACTCTTTACTTACTGAACCTACCTTCAATTACAACAAACAAACATCATGGATTTCGTCAACAAGCTCGCCGGCGGCGGTAACAACCAAGGCCAATCCGTCAACGAGCAAGTCGTCCAAGGCCAGGGCTCTGAGCAGAAGTCCTCCGGCTCCGGTGGCTTCCTCGGTGGCATCGGTGACAAGCTCAACTCCGCTGCTGGCGGCGGCAAGGAGAGCGAGAAGAACGAGGACTACCTCGACAAGGGTATGTCGTCCACTGCCCCCACTCACGTCTATAGTGCCCTGCTATGACTGCCTAACATATGCTGACTGTTTATGATAGGTGTCGACTTCGTCCAAGAGAAGTTCATGGGCCAGGGTGCTCAGGACAACGAGTCCGCCGTCGAGCAAGCCAAGGACGAACAGATCAGCGACTTCATCCGAGGCCAGTACAAGTCTACAACTGGCTCCGATATCCCCATCAAGGACAAGGAGACTCGTCTCGGTTAAGCTGTTGAGCTGGGACAAGGCGTGATGGTGGATATACCATGAGCCGGGAGGACAGGAGATCCGCTGGCCATCGACTACAATCACAATGATAAGGTTATGATAGTCATGAAATGAAACAATGACAATACACCACAAGCAAGAACCTGATGTGTTATTGCAATCGTCTCCGAGGCGATGTGATTCGTGTGTACGACTTATACACCCTGTGAAGACCGAAGCAGATAGTTTTGCGAGGCCTTGCTGATATGTGCTCATACATGTGTGGTCGCAAGACACGTGTTGCTTCCACCTGTTCCCATGAACGCTGGTCCATCGCATCTCTATACAATACAACACATCCATATCTTACAGCTGCTCAATACCCTCAACAAGTCTATCAAGACTTGCTTCCGATCCATCAGTCAACAATCCCTTCATCATGCGCGACCTGCTTCGTGTTAGCACTCACTCTCACCATCCTACACTTTGGGTACGACTTACAAATTCCCCAGTTTACAAGCCCCCATACTCTCCTCCAATTCCGCACTCTTCACCTCGGCCACATCAATGACCTTCTCAGGTACCCTTGCCAACCGCGCAACGTTCAGGCCGTAAGATCGGTGACTAATACCTTCGGTAGCTTCGTACAAGAACACGACTTCTTTCCCGCCATTCTGCTCTTCAAAGCGCATATGAACGTTCTTGAGCTCACCGTTGGAGAAGCGGCTCGACAGTTTGGCCAGATGCTGGTAGTGCGTGATGAAGAGCGTGAGCGACTGCAGGTCCCGGATAACATAGTCGAGTACTGCTTCTGCGATGGCGACACCGTCAAAGGTTGACGTGCCGCGACCCAGCTCATCGAGAATGATGAGAGAACGGGGCGTTGCAGATTTGAGTATGTCCGAGGTTTCGTTGAGCTCAACCATAAAGGTCGATTCACCTTTGAGCATGTTGTCGAATGCGCCCATGCGAGTGAAGACCGCGTCTAGCATGCCAAGTCGTGCTTCGTTCGCGGGGACGTAGGAGCCTATTTGGCCCATGATGGCGATTAGAGCTGCAGACCGCACATAGGAGGATTTCCCGCCCATGTTGGGGCCTGTGATGAGGAGAGCACGGGTGGAATCGTGTGAGAGGGAGAGGTCGTTGGGTACATAGTTTTCGAGGAGTATTTGCTCGACCATGGGATGCCGACCACCAGCGATGTTGAGCCCGATGTCGTCTGTGAAGGTCGGCTTGACGTAACCTGGCTGGCTTGCCAAGGTAGCCAGGGAGAGGAGGGCGTCGAGCGTGGCTAGAGAAGCTACACAGTCTCGCAATTGTTGGTACTTGGATGATATCTCCTCTAACAAAGCTATGTAGGCTTTGTCGCATGCTGCCGCTAGCGACTCCTTGTACTGATCTCGCTCTTGTAGCATGCGCTTAACCTCTGGCGTATGGAAACGTAGTGTAGTCTTCGTAGCTGAGATCTGCTGCCACGAAGCTGGCACTTTCTTCTCTTCGGGTGCCTTCCTCTTGACCTCAATCAAGTACTCGATGCCAGCTACAGTGACGAAGTCTACTTTGCTCTTCCCCAGCTTGGCAGCTGCGTCCTTTCGGTGAGTATTGAGGTCGTCTTCCACAGAGGCAATGCTCAATTTCAGATCGTTAATGTCTTCCGCCTCATGTTCTTCGCGGAAGAACGAGTACTTGTCGTCGTCTTTTGCGGCTTTGGCATTGATCCTCTCCAGAAAGCTGTTCAAATCATCGTATATCTTCGGAACATTCGAAACGGCTTCGCTCAGTAGTGACGAGGAGAAGCCACTTTGTTCGGGTGTCTTCGCCGACAAGTATTGGCTCGAAATCTCCTGCAGACTTTGCAAAGCTGCCAACAATTCCGGCCTTGTGCACTTCTTGTAGTATATGCGGATGAGCACCTTTTCGAGATCGGTCCTGATCTTTCCGAGCACGAACTTGAGCTTGTCGACAGGGATGGTGTTCTCGCCCTCCTTGAGCTCTTCCACCGCTGCTATGCGCTCTTCTAATCTCTCCTTATCTATCAGCGGTCGGCCAACCCACTTTCTCAGCAACCGTTGCCCAAAGCGGGTCTTTGTTCTGTTCATGGTCCAGAACAAGCTGCCCTTCGAGGTGTAGTCCGTTTGATTCTGGTAGATCTCCAAACTAGAGAGTGTGTTTCCGTTCAGCAACATGTAAGACCTGGCACTGAAAGGCTGAAAGTACTTTGTGAGATCAAAGACGTGTTCCAGACCGTACTCACTGAGATATGTGATCATCGCTGAGAGGCAGATGGTTACATGCTCCGACAACTGATGTACCTTGTCCAGAACAGCGCCTTGCTTTTCCGAGTCTGCTTCCTGGCTGGACTTCATCTTGCCCGCGTAGAAATTTGAGATGTGACTGTAGGCCTGTGCAGCCATTGTTTTCGGCTTTTCAACCCTCTCCACCCGCGATCTGTCTCCGAAGACGTTGGTCTTACTGGCTGATAGATGTTGTATCAGCTTGTCTGTAGCCTTGGACATGTCGCCAACTACGAGGAACTCTGCTGGCGCGATATGAAGCAAGCGTGTCTCGATCTCGCTACGCATGAATCCATCTTCGAAATCATCGTAAATGATATCGCCAGTCGCAGGCTGGACAGCCACCAACCCGACTTGTACTTTCTCGTCAGTACCCCAGCCTTTTGCATTGCTCTCGGTGATACAAAGCAGATATCCGGTCGACTGTACGCTTGCGCCTGAGCCCTCGGTAGGCGCCTCCAAGCCCTCAACATCGTCCACATATGTGCCTTTGGTGTAGAGATTGGTGAGCTTTCGTACGAAGGGAGCATTCCTATTGGTACCAGCCGCTTTAAGCGCGGCTGTCTCTAGCTGCCTGACGACTCCGACCTTGTGGTTTGCTTGTACGAGACGCTTGACGTGGACTTGCAGTCGATGCGTGGGGAAGCTGGCGGACGCGAATCGGTCGAGGTGGGCTTCGGAAGGGTGCTCGTCGTATCTGAACTTTCCTGAAATAGTGGTATCCCAAGTTAGCTTGTATCACATCAAGTTCATCCTGGAGTTCTTACCTGGTATGCAGACGATGCCCAGCTCTTTCGAAGCCGTTCTTGCATCCTCGCCAAAGAACTTGTACTTGTAACCAACCTCCATGACGATGACGGTATCCAGATGCTTTCGCTTGATGTCCAAGTATTGTATCTCCATCGGCGTCAGCTTGTTTGCCTTCTTGGTCGCAGCGCCCTTCTTCCCCTTGGCAGGCTTCTGGGGAGGCTCATCCTCATCCTCTTCGTCGCCGTCGCCTTCTTCGCCATTGGCATTGGGGTTGTCCTCGGATATGATCTTGTTGCGCCTCCTCAGTTCAGCAAAGCTATCTGGTCGACCCAGCTTCTTGACAAACTTCTCATGTAGTCTCTCCTTCTGCTTCTGCGAAGCTGCGGCATCCTCGTCGTCGTCTTCTTCAGGGTTCTCTTCCCGTGGAGCGGGTGACGAAGAGAATAGAAACTTGGACGTCCTATCGGCGGTTCTCGCGGGCTTTAGTGCAGGCGTTTGTCGGGGCGAGTCGCCTTTTTCGAATCTGACGCGCTTTGAAGGGGACGAGCGACCGGAATCGTGAGCTCCATCATCTTCGTCTATGGCGCGCTTGCGGACAGGAATTGACTGCGAGACTGGAAGGTCATCTTCGTCGTCGTCGTCGTCTTCTTCTTGGTGTGTGTCATTGGCTGCGGGCGGAGAAGGTGCCTTAGGAGCGGGTTTGGTTGCGGGTTTAGGCGTTTGCGACGGTTTCTTGGCGAAGAAACTGGAGATGGTCTGCTGGGTGCCCTTTTGCGACGACTTGGGCTGCGACGACGATTGAGTACTTTTTGGCGCCATTGGGTGATTCGTGGGGTTGTGACGGATGGCGGGTGTACGTGTGGAGAAAGCTAGAGACGCGTGAGGCAGGCGACGCGAACCGCTTCAGATTACATCACGGTGTCACGTTTTCTGGGCTTCGTCCGCATGCTTGGCTGCTACATCATCTAGGAACTCAGTACCAAAGCTTGGCTTCTAAAGTCAACGTCTTCGATTGAAAGTCCAATGCCAGCTACTTCTCCAATCATGGTTGAGTTGCAGCTGGAACGCCTAGGTGTGCCTGTGGATTCAGCCCTGAAGCTTGACAGGACGACACCTGGACATGCTATCAACGAAGCGTGATGACTACTTGAACCGTACTATTTTGAGCTTACAGCCAGACATAAGAGGATGCATCCGTCCCCAGCATTTCTCTTTGCTCATACAAACTCGCCAGCACGCGACCAGCGTTATCACCCCCGCCTATCTCCGACCAACAACGGCCCGGCTTCGTTATCTCGAGTACTTCGATAGGCCAAACTACGCAGAACCACAAGTATATGATTACCTGAACATGTCCACACTCGGCCCGCAATGGTGCATTGCGACAGCTTCGCACGCAATCCCAGCCCCGTGCGTTTGCAGCTTCCTAATCCGTCACAGCCGCGTACTGTTACCAGTTATTGCCGTGGCTATCACCAGGTAAGGGAGGCGCAAGGCGCAAACGCGGGATCCACCAAGCCGACTTCGGCTAGTATATAACCTGCACGATGAGCCCATGGTTCGCGCCTCGTTGGCTTGGTGAGCTTGTTCTTCCTTCACACTTTCGTCAATACTGTGCTGCTGCGAATATGGCACGCGGTTCGCTTGTCAAGTGCTTCACCGGCCTATTGACGCTGCAGAGTGTCTTGGGTACTCCGGTCAAGAGCGGGGAATCATGGCCCTCGGGTTACCCTGCGCCGCCCATACTGGAGGAGGGCCAGTTGGGTGCTGTTGCTTCGGAAAGTGATATCTGCAGTCATATCGGTATTGAGTTGCTGAAGCTGGGTGGTAATGCTGCGGATGCCATGGTCGGCACTGTGGCATGTGTAGGTGTGGTCGGCATGTACCATTCAGGTGAGTATCTTCCAAACACGTTTGTTGAGCCGTATGTTAATAACTACAGGAATCGGCGGAGGAGGATTCATGCTTGTCCGTGCTCCAAACGGTACATATGAATTCATTGACTTCCGCGAAACAGCCCCAGCAGCTGCATTTGAAGATATGTACAAGAACAACGAAGACGCCAGTATCAACGGCGGTCTAGCATCCGGTATCCCTGGTGAACTCCGTGGACTTCAACATCTTCACGAGAATTACGGAGTCCTACCATGGGCCACTGTCCTCACCCCAGCTGTCAAGGTCGCCAGAAATGGCTGGAGAGTCAACGAAGATCTTGTCAAATACATGGCCTCCGCTACCTCCTCATCCAACTTCCTAGTCGACGACCTCGAGTTTGCTCTCGATTTCGCGCCCAAAGGACGTCTCCTCCAGCTCAACGAGACCATCACGCGGAAGCGCTACGCCGACACGCTCGAGACCATTGCCCAGAACGGTCCCGACGCATTCTACAACGGCCCCATAGCAGAAGCCACAATCCGCGCACTTCAGGCCGCCAACGGAACGATGACGCTCTCTGATCTCTCCAACTACACGGTCGCCATCCGCAAGCCCTCCACGATAACCTACCGGGATTACAAGCTCACAGCCTGCAGCGCGCCCTCAGGCGGCGAAGTCGCCCTAGCCACGCTCAAAATCATGGAAGGCTACTCCTGCGTCGGCCACCCAGAAAACATCAACCTAACCACACACCGCCTAGACGAAAGCATGCGATTCGCCTACGGCATGCGCGCCGAACTAGGCGACCCCCTCTTCCTCTCCGGCATAGACACGTACCAAGAGCAAATGCTATCCGAGGCCACGGCCAAAGAAATTCGGTCCAAGATCTCCGACACCAAGACGTTCGACGTGTCGTACTACGACCCCGCTGGTCTGGAATCCCTCGAGACGCCCGGAACGAGCCATATCGTTACGGCGGACAAGAGTGGCATGGCTGTTACACTGACGACAACGGTGAACCTGCTCTTTGGAAGCAAGCTCGTCGTCCCTGAAACCGGTGTCATTATGAACAACGAAATGAACGATTTCAGTATTCCAAACACAACGAACGCGTTCGGATATATTCCCTCGCCTGCCAACTTCATCCGACCCGGTAAACGCCCTCTATCCTCCATCTCGCCCGTCATCGTCGAGCACCTCAACTCCTCGTCCATTGCAAGTGCTTTCTACGTGGCTATTGGCGCGGCGGGAGGCAGTCGCATCATCACGGCTACGATCCAGAATCTGCTTCATATCCTCGATGGGGAGATGACGACGGCGGAGGCGCTGGCCGAACCGAGGATTCATGATCAGTTGGTGCCGGCGCAGGTCAGCTTTGAGTATGGGTTTGATAATGGGACTACGGCTTTCTTGAAGGGGTTGGGCAGTAATGTTACGTGGGTTGCGCCGGGATCGAGTACCGCGCAGGGCTTGAGGCGCTTGACGAATGGCACTTTTGAGGCGGCGGGTGAACCGAGGCAGAAGAACAGTGGTGGGTTTGTCGTTTAGACAGGCTCTGGGAGTGGCTGCGGTGTTATGGCTGGACGGTACCTATACCTTATGCGTCATGAAGAACCTCAAGTACTCATGAAACCCCTCTATCTACATGGACGTTCACTGTGCATAATCTGATGATGGTCTTTACTATATCTTTTGTAATCTTTTGTACATATACAACAGCTCGACACGACCGGCTATCGACCTGACGTTACCCAAGCTAAGACAAGGTCTCTTGCGGGCACGTCCTCTCATGACATCGATGTCGCATGGAACGAAGAAATAACGCCAGGAATTTTACAGTGCAAACAGCAGAATTAGAAGGAAAAGGACAGGATGGTTTACCTATGAGATGAGACAGATTGTACGGGTCTACCCATGGCTTGGAACCTGCTCATCAGAAGGCGGTTGGTTCGGATATCGGAATCGCATCAAGACTTTTTGCCTCGACGCGACTCATGGATAGCTGACCAGACATTACTTGGGGCGCAGTATTCGAATATGAAAAGCTCGGGTAGATGGGGATGGTCACACCTCGTCTGGGCAGTACTGTCAGTCAAGCAATGAGAAAGGGCATCGAAAAGGCGCATACCAAGTTACTATCGCACTCCTAGAAGCGGCTTCGGTGACCAGGCTTTTGAGGCACAGGAGGAGCAGTGGCGGCGTCTTCGATCTGTTTCGCACTGTATTGAACACGCAATGTCAGCAAGCATAATGAGAGGACGAGAATCGTGGTGTATTACGTTTTCTAGTGATCGTGCAGGTGCAGGAAATGGTAAATACTAAAAAGTTCAAGAAGGGGTATGATGGGACACTAGAGAGTCATGGTTCGACCAGCAGCGCGCAGCGTAGTTTTGCTGTGCTGGGCAGACCTAACGCACAACTATTTGCGCTGGCGTTTGTTTGCTGCGTTGTGAGGCTGTCCTTTGCGTTTCTTCTGAGGTGGGAGTTGGGAGGGGTCGCTCTTAGCAGATGATACATACCCATTGACATCCTTATCCAGCTGCATGTACTCCTCGGCTGCGTCCTTGCCACCACGATCCAGCAAATAAGTCATGTAGTAGTGGGAGAGTTCCTTTGAGACGTCTGTGGAGAAGCGTCCTTTAGTGCGCATCAGCTCGTGCACTGCCTTTATGCGGGAATGGCCCTCTTCCTGATCAGGTGAGGGTTGTGCGATCTCGAATTCAAGATATTTGACCCAGAACTCGCGCGAGTCCAGGAATCGCTCATGTTTGTCCTTGAACACTTGGCGGGCCGCGTCGACGCTGCCCTTGCATTGCCAGAGTATGCGTGCCTGCTCAGCAGCTAGTATGCCACCGATATAGTTGTTTGAGCGACCGATGTGCTCTTCTAGAAGGCGGACGGCCGCATCGTTGCCTTCGTGGCGTCGCTCTACTCCTGCTAGAGCAATGAGAGTCTCAGTGTTTTCAGGGGCTTCGTCGAGTATGGCCAAGTAGATATCGCGTGCGACAGAAGTACGGCCGAGCTTCTCCTCAAATCGTGCCCAGTTCAGGCGTACTTCAGGAGCCGAGATTGGTACGAATATACAACTCGCCCTCATGTAGATTATCCTCGTGTTCTCTGCATAGTCTTTGCCCTGCGAGAACATCCAGCGGGCGTAACGCAGCCAGAACTCGTCGTAGAGCGCGCAAGCAACGAGGCAGCGCTCGTACAGGAAAGACGTACGCTCAAAGTTACCCTGCTTCTCCTCGTACTCTAAGTACTTGCGCCAGTTCTCGAGCTCGGCATCTTCGAGCTCTGTGACGTGGAAGTAAGCCCGTTTGATGGTTTGCTCAAAGGTCCAGCGGTTGGTCACTTCCTGCTGTGTCTTTGCGTATGCGGCGTAGTAGTGCTCGTGGATCTTGTTGCGCAGTTGCCGCTCAATCTCAAGCGCTGGCTTCTCGGGTTGTCCTTGGTTCTCCAGTTGGATCGCATTCTTCATCTCCTCGAGGGTATCGGGGTCGACTAGCTCATCGACGGGTCGGCTGTTGAGCAGGACGGAGAACTTCTCGAAGTATCGGGCGAATTGGTAGATGGGCAGGTGTAGGACGCGGCTGTAAATCTTGGTGACATTGGTTGGCTCCCCAATGCGCTCTTCGAACTCGATGTATTTGTCCCAGAATGGGTGGCTCTGGAAGTCGAGACCAACGAAATGGGCACCGCGTTCGAACAGACTGTTAGGTCAGCATATTGAAAACAAGTATGGGGAGGATAGGAGGGGGTGATCTTTCAAGGTAACCTATCATGCCGTCCGAGGACGGCAATGCCATCGACTTCAGAACTCTAGCGTATGATTTCGCTCTTTCGTGGGGCACGTTGTAACGGGGCAGTGAGAGGGTGCATCAAACGGCATGCAACGAAACTGTGTCAGGTCTGCAGACGCAACGCCAGGCTGCGCTAGACTTGCCGCTGGCTACGGCGAGATTGAGCCTGCGAATCGGGAGGGGGGAAGGGGAGGAAAGGCAAGACTTACTCTCGGATGATGTCGTTGTCGTGCGATGTGTCCATCTTGAAGGTGCAGTAGTTGGCCCACAGATCTACTGAGGGTGTAATGCACGAGACACCGCGCTCGTAGACCATCTCAGCCGTCTCAGTGCCGCCAATGGAGAACTCGAGGTCGGCATACTTCTTCCAGTATCCGAAGAAGAGCGGGAACTTGGTCAGGAAGCAGTCGTACACGTTGCGCACGAGTTCGATGGCGGATGGGCTGGAGTTGCGGGTGACGCCGCCCTCGAGGTCAGAGGCGCGAGTGACGAGCGCTTCCCATCTCTCAAAGTCGTCTTCGTTCTCTACCTATAGCACGGGTCAGCAGACGTTTGCGGGCAGGTGGGGCAGTACTCACGACCGCGCTGAGAAGCTTGTTGATCTCACCCGCAGCTTCCTCGCCCGTGTAGTGTATCTGGGCAATGCTGCCGCGTCCGGTGGTCAACATTTTGTCGCGCGTCAATCGATGCCAGTAGAGCGTGTCTCGTGATCGGGGGTGAGAAAAGTGCGACGGAGGATGACGGGCAGGTGGACGTGTTGAGGGCTTTGCGACAGTACCGTGGGAGCGTCGAAGTTGCGCCTGAGATCGCGTCGGCAACTTTCGTCAGCGACGCTCTCTAGCGCCTTGGTACCGCTTGCCTAGCACGTGCAGCGATCTTCACCTAGTCTTTACAGCCACCATGTACAATTACGCTGTTGATCTACTGCCAGTCACCGGCAAGTACATCTGAGGATTGGATCTCACAGGTATTGCTTTGTCGGCTTCACTCGTTGCTGAGGCGTCTACATCATGTTCAGACATTCACGACGTACGTTCACCATACTGCATTTACTATATTTTGGCGCAATCGTGATGATGGGAACATCGCTCTTGATGATTCCAACTAGAATGAATTCTCGCAGCGGCAGGAAGCCGCCAAGGTATCACTTTCATAAAAGGGCTACACCGACCCTAAGACTAACACATCGCACCCATGCTACACCCTGATGCACCCGTACATTCACCTACGACAATACTCAAACGGCACTCTCCTCTTTCAAGAACGGAGCTGTCTCGTTCACCGCGAACGAAAACGGGCTCTTTCCCACCTCGGGGCTTCGCGGACTTATCGGCAGTGCAAACAGCCCATCGTCCTTGTCATCCTCATCTGCCGGTCCCGATGGATCCCGTGACTGGAACACGGGCGCAGGGCCAGATAGAGCATTCAGTGAACCCATCATGCCAGCGCCTTGTTGCTCTGTGATGAATTGCGGTGGAGCTTGTGCAGCGACCTTGCGAGGCGGCGCTGCTGGCTCAGACTGCGGTTGCTGTGGAGGTTTCGCTGCAAGTGCCGAAGGGTTCGCTCCCTTGAAGACAGAAAATGAGCTAATGGCGATGTCTGAGGATTCAGGTGAGAGAGGGTTGGAGAAGCCCGGCGTGCTGCTGCTGCTGCTAGGGGTGAGGTCTCTCTCGCTCGTGCCCAGTCGCAGACCAGCCAGCTTGTCCATCAGCCTGCCTCCGCCTGGAGATCGTGGGCTAGCTGGACCCTTCATCGGGGCTAACGTCGGCTCCCCCAACGAGATGCTCAGACCGGCTGGTTTGGCATTGACGCCAAACGTTGATTCGATCCACTCCTTCTCTTGCACCACCATGAGCAGGCCAATGCCCTCGACGTTGTTGCGCGATTCGGCTTCAATCTCTTTCTGCAAGACCTGTAACCGCTTCTTGGCCCAGATGGTGTGCAGGACGCCCTTCTTGCCCGCTGCACGCGCAGATGCTCCTAGTTCGGGCGGAAACAGGGCGGGCAGAGGGTTGGTATGCCAGACTACAGGCGATATACTAGCGTCCTGTGGTCGTAGCGTGAGTGTGACGCTGGTGGGCACCGCAACGCCCGGAGGCAGCAGGAAATACATGCGGTTCACGTCGTTGGCAGGCTGATCGTTGGCAGGCAGGACACGCGTGCTGCCGTCCCACGAGATGTGCCAGTCGCCGCGCACTCCGCGCGTCGTGTCGTCGTCCTCCCACTCAACCATGAGGATCTTGGTGCCGGTGGTGGCATTGGCGTGGCCCGCCTCGTATTCGTAGCGGGCAAGCGCGTTTGTGCTGGAGATGCTCGGCGACTCGACCTCATCTTTGGCTGGCTGCCGCGTGGTGGTGTCGAGCGAGGTGAAGGGAACCGGGGCTGGAGACGCCATGGGAAAGGTGGAGTTCGGATGTCGAGGGCGCGATGCAGGCGGTGCAGTACGTCTATACAACTGGGTGGGGGCGGAATACGAGTCTAGGTGTTAATAACGGCCACGGCAAAATGGTAGTCTCTACGGGCCCGCATTCGACGGCGTGCAACGCGATGCAGTCGACAGAAGCCTAGATGCTGCCCCCGCAACCTTCCTGCGACTTGGATGGCGAACTCAAAGCGGTCGTTGTGCTGGTCGTCTGTTGCTGTACGCGTCGACTTGCAGCGTCGCAATCCGCCCCATGTTCTCGCTAAAATTAGAAGGCCTCTCTTCAGCAGCGGGAACGAGCGACCTGCAACTGTCGCGCCACATGCAAATAACCCTCTCCAGCCATGGCAACCAATCACCATCACATATGCACAAAGGAGGCGTTGTAATCTTGAGCGATACGCTCGTTTCAGCTTCAATTCTCTCCTCCATCCATGGGCGCTCACTCGAGCCCCATCCAACTCTACTATACATGTTGGCGCCTGGGTGCTGCGCTAGCTTCCCATGCACTTCATGTGCCCCTTTCCAAACAGGCCCCAGATTCGGCCGTGAAATCGTCACCCGTAGAGTCCCTTCAACGCCATCCAATTGATGCTGCTGCGCCCTAGAAATGCTGCCTCGCTCCCATGGAGCCAATGGTATCCAAATTACAAAAAGTGGGTATCGTGGTGAAGAAAATATATGCAAAGAAATAAGCAAAGCGCTTTTGTAGTAGTCGAAAGAGGTATAGCAAGCGTCAGACGTAGAGAGAGAATGTAGTTCGCGAAGAGAAACACCAGACCAGGATGCATACCAGCAGAAGAGCCGGACTTTTTAGATGAGTAAAAAGTCCCAGTTCTTCTGGCGCATCATGTCCCGCCAGTGGACACTCTGGGTGTTGCCCTTCGCGAGGTTGTCGTCGTTGACCTGCCATACCTCTTCCAAGAGGTTCTTGACTCGTCCGTACGAGCCAAAGTTAGCAGCCTCGCCCAAGAGGGCGGAGCGCTCAGCAAACATGCTGCGGAATCCTGACTGTTGCACCGAGACGGAGCCAGCGACCAAAAGTGGCCATACAAGGGAGCGGTCAAATCCGTCGGGACCGGCAGGAATGTACTCCATAGCCTTGCAAAGGGCGCTGACCAGGTTGACGAATGTGGGCGATGTGCGGTCGAAGTCTGGCACTAGGCTGCACAAGTAGATCCGGGCGGCTAGACGGTACACTGCCGTCATGTTGCGGCGAAGCTGCCTTGGGAGAATCTCGCCGGTAGATGTGTAGGCGCTGTTGAGCGATCCCTGGGGAGGCTCAGTCAAGCTGATTTGCTCACCGAGGAGCTTGATGTGCGCGCAAAGCTGCACGACATCCATGTTCTCGTTCTTCAGCGCCTCGAGGCAAGCAATCTCCGAGATCAGGTACATGATGCGATCTTCACAGCCCATGAGTTCGGCAAGGCCAGAAGATGCGTCAGCGATGAGCTTCTCGCGGTAAGTGTCAGCGAAAGATGGTGTCCTGCCTAGCATGGTAGCGCCGAGGATGTCGATCCAGGAAGCCAGTGTCATGTTGAAGGGAGGCTGAGCGTGTGCTTGTCCATTCATCGCAATCATCTGCGCGGGAAGCTCGAGCCTATGAACGAGGTTCTGAACTGCTTCGAAGTGTCCATGCCACGGGATGTCCATGAGGCCATCGTTGAATCGGCCGACTGAGCACTGAAAGAATATCATACCAAGCGCGGCCTCGAGAGTCTGACCATGCTGGCTGTCGCTGTAGAGCGCCGCAGTGAGTTGCTGAACGGTTTCTCCGCGATGCCGTTGAATGTCTTGGTCGATCTCTTCTCCCACAAGTCCCTGGGTAGTCTTCATGTGTAGCGCGGATATGCTCATGCAGCAGTGCAGGTAAGCCTTGTTGGATTCCAGTGCTGGTATGATCACATCACGCTGCGCAGCGCCGGGCTGGTTTGTCTCAAGAACAGGGAATGCCGTGGGCATGATGTTGTCGAGGAAATGGCTGAGAAGATGGCGATCACAGTCTTCGACCTGAATCGAGGGCTGGTGGGATGGGCTGAAAGCACCGTAGGTAGTGTAGTCAAAGATGGGAAACTCGAGGGGCTCCTCAATATACGATTCGCGGCGCTCGAAGTAATCTTTCTGGATCCAGTCGTCCGTGGGATAGATGTGAGCGGGTGGAGTTTGGTAGTGACTGTAGGATGACAGTGTGGAATCGCGACGAGTTGGAATATCGTTGATGAACATTTGGCTTTCGGTCTTGATGTCGATGTCGTAGGGCACGTAGTGTCCTGGGTGGGCAAAAGTTGGAGCGAACATTGGTGGGGGCATTGTCGAGTTGTAGAAGTCGGGTGTGACAGTGGGGTTGAAGTTGTAGTCCAGCGAGTTTTGGGAGTCGACAGATGGCGCCCGAGTGCAGCTGACGCCATCTGAGAAGGTGTCGGCAGTTTGCATGGAATGGCAGAGGCTTGGTGGTGTGTTGGTGCCCATTGCGCCGCTCTGTGCTGTCTTCTCATTAAGCTTGGTGCGCTTGATGATGTTTTTGATGACTTCTTTCTGAGTCCGCCTTTGTTCATTGTTGCTCCACCACATTGGCCTCTTGTATTCGCACTTGAGACCAAGGTGTTTGCAGGCGCGGCAAGATGACTTGCCCTCATCACACTTCTTCCGTCGCAGGCGACATGTGAAGCACCCTGCAGAGCTCCCGTTAGTCAACCGTCCATGCGCAGGATCCCTGCATGTCATTGAAAGGGTGGTCCTTACCTGATCGTGAACGACGGTGCATTTTTGCTGCAGCTTGTTGTTTTGCTGCATTAGCAGCACTTGTAGTCCCTACCATGGTGGAGGACTGTTTGGTAGCGGATGGGGGAGCGGACGAGGAGGACATGGACGCTTGATGTACCCAGAGCGGTGGTATATGAGGAAAGCCAGTAAACAATGCGGCAATAACGACTAACGCGCGACGGGACGATTCGTAAGGGACAGGATGGCAGGGCTCGACCGGGCTGCTCGTAATTAAAGATGGGTATTCAAAGCCTGACCAGCGGGCTTGATGTGAAGGAAGGAGCGGAACCAAATTATGCGGTCTACCTGTTGCGTGGAGAAGTATTAGTGAAGGACATGTACCTTATATCTACCACGAACGGCAGAATGTTCACAAATATTGCTGAATCTATAATTGGAGTCCCTGCTATCAGGCCGGGTGGTCATCCAACGGGAGGGAGATGCGAACGCCATGCAGCACACGCACACGGCACATTGATTGGACGACTAGTCCTGGCGTGCAGCCTGATGTCGACATTTGGGGTCATTCTGTGCCCCCAGCTATTTTGGGGCACTCTACCCGCCGCGCTAGAGCCAACAGCAGCACTTAGCGCGTATATCTCCACGGCTATCGATCGGCTTACTGGTCCCCGCAACGACTTTAGCAAGTTAAATGACCCATTTAGTACTGGAAGCATATTCCCATGTCGCTTTGAGAGTTTTCGCTGACCGGGGCCGTATGCCTTGATCCCCTCTTGTGCCAACCTCCTTGCGGGGCACTATCGAGGTGCGTCCAAGAGCGGCCTAGGAAGTACATGAAGCGGCTGCGATAAGTGGCCGGCCCGGACGTTACTGGTGGCCTTGTGCAGTGTGCAGATCACGTACTGCAGTATGCCAAGTATGTAGATGATGGCATAGCATCTGCAAGTCCCATGTACGTGGTGTATTGGTACCTGCCCGCGTGTCGACACCAGCAAAGGTACAGCGACTCGTGGTCCCACGAGATGCGGCTGCTACTCGAACCTATTCGCCTGTGCTACGTTCAGCCAGAACGTTCGGGCGTTTGCGGACAGAGTCACGCAGACTCGAGGCGGCCCAATTCGCGTGCACGCTGTCGTGATCATTTCCACAGCGGGACTTGAGCAGCTAGTAGCTAGGCGAACGAAAACGTAGACCGCATTGTCGACCAAACACGGCAGGTCGGTTGATGGTGTTTTCCCGAGCTACGCGGTAGAGGACAACCTTGGAAGTAGAGTGGGTGAGCCTTCGAGTAACGCGGCGAGTTAGCATGGCACGACAGGCAGTGGCATCCAGTCAGCGTGCGCTCCCACGCGAAGCAAGTCGCTTGTGCATGTTGACGGGGTTGGAATTTGCAGGACAAGCTTTCTCTAGTCGACTTGTGTATCCAATGACAGCATTCATCGTCCTAGCTTACACTGTGGGGCAAGCCACCGGCTAGGAAATCTCGGTGGGTGACAGGGAAGGGCCGGTGCTAAGTATAGGCCCTTAATTATGTTGCCGGCTCAAGGTAAATGCCCATAATTAGTGGGCCTTCGTCATGCTTGCAAGACAGGTGAGGCGAGACCCGTTCGGGATGTGATACCGCTTGCTAGACGTGCGATTGGTTACCGACAATTACAATCAATACTTGGTAGTCCACGAATGGCCCTCGAGCGACTAGGTACCTCTTCGGACGGTTGGGCATGCACGGGATTGCTCACCTGACAATGCGCATTCATGCTTTGGCCGCCATGTTCCCGCTGAAAGCCGCTATCGTTCCCCGGTATCTGGATATGATACTGCCTTCCATGCATCCTGTTGGATTCCCTGGGGTGATGGGGATGAGGCGAAATAGATTGAGATGGCCAATCTGGCCAACGGCACAATTGGAAAATTTCATCACTCGCTTTCGGGCACCACTTAGGGTAGTAGTGATGAAAATCTAACCAGGTCTTGAGCGCCATGCGCAGAGCTTTCGGAGCCGGATGCTCACGAGCAGTTTGTGACTCTTCGTAATGCACGGATTTGTGGAACGGTAGCCGTTCTGCTGGTATTTCACGAACTATGCAGCACGTAGCACAAGAGAAAGAAATTCTGTTCTGCTTGGCGCGGTTCATCGAGGTTGCTGGGGGGGCAGGCTTGATGCTTGCACAACTTGCGGTCTGATAGTCTGGTCGTGGGAAGTCGTCTTCGCGCGCTGATTCGCCTTTGGCATCCACGCTTCGATGAGACCATGGTGATAGTGGAACACCAGACACAAAAGATGCGGCTGGCCGCAGGACCACACAGTCACGGGGCCGTGGTGAAGGAGCTCTCTGAGCGACCGTTGGTCGGCAAGGTAATGAGGGTCCCATGGCGAGCCGTCGTGTGGGCGGGCTAGGTGCTAGGTGGTGGTGTGCAACGGTCGGAGCGGCGGTCTGCCATGGCATCGCAACGGTAGCAGATAGCCGGTGGGACGCTTGTGGGATGAGTCAAGGTTCGGTGGATTGTACTAGCATGGTGATTGTGCTAGCATCCGGGTCGCACGACAACGCAAAAGACATCGAGGTAGGTCCGACGAGCACGAGAGGTGCTCGCAATGCTCGGAAAACGCGACTACAGCGATGACGACAGGCGGGTGTGCTCGAGTCGTCGGCGGCGCGCACGGCTGCAGGCTGCAGGCTGCACACAGCCGTCGAGCACGGAACGCATCCGCATGTGATATGGTTGTGCCAATATCGCTTGCTGCATGTCGCTGATGAGGCTGTCGGCTAGCGACCTCAACCAGCCACAGTCCTGGGACCAAGTGGACGCTCCGAACCGAAGCTTCACCGACACAGCGCAGCAGCGTCGCGACGGTCAAGTGACAGTCAAAATGACCTGCCATGACTTGGTTGCGGTGGCGGTGGTGATGCGACTGGACGAAAAACATCCCGAGGTACCTACTCTGGGGCTGCGCAGGAACAGCGAAGCAGCCAACAGCACGCGTGCACGCCATGGCCAGCTCAGATCGTCGTCGCATCTGCACTCGACAAGCGGCGACGCGATCCGCTGCCGTCGACCCTGATCCTGAGTGGATCCGTGACGGCCCTGGCCTCTTCATGCGTCTGGCCCGCGCGGCGAGGTATTAATGGCAGTTAATGTCCTCATTGAGCAGAATTAGCCCGCCAGCCAATCTGCACGCCAGCGAATGGGGGCCGTCTCACGCCCTCTCAACGCTCGAGTCTAAGCGCCAGCCTAACCCTCGACCAGCATGCGGGCGGGAAAGGCCCGGATTCACATTGGCCGAGAAGCGGTGTCGCTCGTCGACTCGAATGCCTCAGTGGCCGGCTTAAGCAGGCATGCGCTGTCTCGTGCAGCTGCTCAATGTGATATTGTCGAACCGCATTCCCCCACCGTCAACGGCGCCCAAGCAACCTCTACAAAAGACCATCAAGCGCTCTCCACCCGAAGGGTCCCTTTCTCCGTTTTCGATCGTTGTGCTGTTACTGTGTGTGTGTGTGCCATGCTCGCGACACTCGCTCGGAATAGTTGTTAGCAGCCTCCCGAACAACCAAATTCCCTACCACAGAGCGTGTACGCTGCAAACCCGTGATCATGGTAAGCTCGATTCACATTGCCCTTCATATGCCTTTCTAACATCCCGATCAGCAGGCCATGACACCCATCACCCCGCTGGAGCCGGGCGTGGAAATGTTCGAACGAGGAAAGACACAGTCGTTCTTTTCCAATGCTCTGACCGCCCGGTCATCGCTAGAGCGTCCGGTTTCTCACATCAGTGTCGCATACACCGATATCGAGGATGATTCTAGCGAATTCGAGGAATTCAGTGGCTCATCGGTATGTACATCCTGGCCCTCCACCATATGCGACACTGACCCTCCGAAGAGCGACAACAGGCGAAGTCAGACAACGATTTCTACCTTTGAGGAAGTACAGACACCTGCGGAAGAAGTACGACCACAGTTCGCCTACTGGCCAGAACGGAAGTCAGTAGAAGGCCCCAGAGGACCACACCTCTTCCGCGCCTCAGTGTCGTCCAGCGACTTTCCGTTTGACGAGGGTCAAGTATTGCAGATGTCGCCTCTACTACCAAAAGAAACTCCACTTCGTCTTCCAACCTCTTTCCGAGAGGCCACTCCCGAAACGATCGTCCCCCAGAGAGAATACAACAACATCGCTCTCGCCGTCGCCCACTTGGACAACGCTGAAGTGCGCGCCTGGACCTCCAAAGACGTTGCTACCTGGATGTATCAGAACGGATTTGAAGACGACGTAATTGACAAGTTCATGGAGCACGACATCTCCGGTGCTGTACTACTGGATTTGCAATTCGACGACCTGAAGGAGTTGGAGATTCAGTCCTTTGGCAAGAGACACCAATTGTGGAACCAAATCGATTCCCTACGCACCGCCGACGGGCTAATGTCACCAACTGCCCCAGCAGCCATCCCGACTCCCTTCGAAGATATTGAACGACCATGCACAGAGGCACGAAACAGGTCTAAGAGCAAGGGTCGGAAAGCTAGTCGACGCGATAAACTGCGAGGGAATCACCTGACAGACGATGTCATTACTCCAGCGCATTCGGTCTCCATTGTAGCGATCGAGCAACTGCTCCCCAAGCCACACGTGTGCGCAAAGGGTGAACGATGCGCCAAATGGAGGAAGCAACAACGGCAACTCGCCAGACTTCAACAGGAACACGGCTTCCCGATCTCGCCCGAGAAGGGTGGTCACATCTTCATCGCGGGTGATCCAGGCAACCCCCAAACAGCATCCCACGCTGTCGAGAACGTCCACCGCCCAAACTCAGAAGCTACCCCTTCTGTTGTGGTGCCGTCCGTCGTAGCATCGTCCGACGTGCTTGGGCCTGGTCAGCTACCTGATTTCAGTCTTCAAGACCTAGAAAAGTTCGAGCAACGCGACCCGCAAGACAATGTGCGACAGTTCCTCACCCTACAAGGCCAGCAGCAACCCTTCGTCAGCGCTACTCCAATCGAGGCCCCTCCAACCCCGCCTACAGAATCATACCCACCTCGTCCTTTCTTGGTGATACCACAGCAATCGCACTACCCGCAGGTTTCAGCCTTTTCTGCATCTACATCGGCGCATACAACAAAGTCTTTCGATCCATTCAGTCGCTCACCCTCAACTCCAGCTCTACATCCCCCAGAGTTCATGCCAGCACCTCACTCAAACCTCAAGAGCCTTCCCAAATTGACGATTCCTCCCGCACGTTCGATGTCTGCCCAACCGGCTGGTAACCCACGCCAAGGAGTCCCTGTACAACAGTACCTCGCACCCGACACCGCATTCTCGCCATGCAGGACAGCGTCACCAGGTGGCGTCTACCGATTCGGCACGCCCTTCTCCGAGATGGACGTTCCTGTGACTGCTGTGCAACAGGAGCCACTTAGTCGCGACACAAGCCAGTCCGTGCCTCCGAACATGCAGTACCAGCCCCAGATCCAAAGGGTTGGATCGCGTCACGACCGAAGACGCCCCTCGTTGCCCATGCCGGCGCTTGCTGAGGATCGCGTGTTCAGCCCAACCGCCCACTCAGATGACGACACCCTGCGCGGAACAATTTTCGATGACTCAGTCAGTACTAGCGACAGTGCTGGCTCGTCGCCGCTCAAGGCTACCCAGCCATTCGACAGCGAGGCTAGCGACACAATTGCGCCTTTGCACAAGGGAGGCTTTGTGTACAAGGGAGTAAACCACCACGGATGGATGAAGAAGCGACGCACGAAGCTCCTGCGTCACGAATGGCAAGACCACCACTTCCGCCTCCAGGGCACACAGCTAGCTATGCATCCCAATGAGCTGCCGTCTTCATCCGCACTACAAACGATCGACGTGGACGACTACGCAGTAGCATGCTCATCGATCGCTTCCAACAAGCTCTCCGCCAAGTTCAAGGCTCTGAAGCTCTCCTCAGGTCATTACAAGGAGAAGTCAGCTGCTTCTACTCCTGCCTTTGAGTTCCAGCTTGTGCCTGCCGCGCCTGGCAAAGGCGATGTCAAGAAAGTGATGCCCAACGGCAAGGTCCAGCACTTTGCTGTTACCACCAAAGACCAGAGGATTGACTGGATGCGCGAGCTCATGTTGGCTAAGGCCTTGAAGGCTAAGAGCGACGGCTACGAAGTCAATGTCAATGGCGCTAACATGTGATGGCTACACTTACATGGCCATCACAATTTCCTTTACTAGTCTGTTCTTGTTTCAATTGTCTTTGGTACAGCAAGCGAGCGTATGTTTTGTCTTTTTTTCTTATCTATGCGCAATCTCCTCTTCCTCAGTCCGATCATGATCCGCTATTATACCCTTTCCGTTGTTCTTTTTTTTTTTTGCGTTAACCTGCGTGTTATTGTTATTTGTGTCTTCTCCCAATCCCTTGGGGGCAGCATTTATTTTACTTTCACTACTGCATACATCTAAAGACTTGGAACGCTGAGCGGGGCCGCAAGGTCAGGGAACATTGGTTATTTCTGGTTTGAACATGGTAATGTCTTGGTCATTTTGCTCGAGCGTGGAGGTGTCGCAACAATCACTCATTGAATCGGGTGGTATTTTTGCTTTGACTAAAAAAGCTGTCCTTATGTTGAGATGAAGTGAGATGGATGCAAGTGTGGGGCGGAAAGGTGAAGGAACATCTAGGTACTATCCATGAATACGAATGAACGTCATACAACAAACTCTTCCTCTGTCCACCACCACCCTGTCTCCACGTATAGGTACCACTTCATCACCGCCTTCCGAAACATCCATGCCCGTCACTTTCTTCAAAACACTCGGTCTCCGAGGTTGTTCTCGTGGGTCGCCCGGGCGGTGTGCGTTGTTCGCTCCCGGCCGAAACAGCCCCATCACGAAACCACGTCGGCCCCCAAATACGTCAACCACGAATATCGTCTACGTATCCACAAAATACCGCTAATTATGATACATTTACCTCGAATTCTTATTTCAATTTCTCTGTTGCCAAAAAGGATCTTAAGGCCCTAAAACACACATTCCACATGGCCCGTTCGCTTGCTTTCACGCATGAACCTCCATCACCCGCATGTGAAACATCACCCGATATGTGACATGCTAAGCGATAATGTGCGATACATTCAGCTATATCGTTCGCTGACAAGGCATACTGCTAAATGCCTTGGACGGTTAGGTTACCGCGAAGCTGGATCGGGCATGAGGTGACAAATGTTTGATATTACGATGCTCATCAAATGTCAGATCATAGTTCTGAGTGTGGAGTTTTGGCAATATGACGGTTTGGCGACAGGGCATTCATTGGGGTCTCGGAGATGTTTGTGTGACCTCGATGAAACGATGTGGAATTCATTGAAAACGAATATGAACAGTAACGTAATCGGATGGTAGTTGGGGATTGCGGAACATCGGAGCTGAAGCCGTACACCACTCCAACTGCGTCTTTACTTCTACCTCTCCTCCGAGGTTGCGTTGCTCCCAATTCAGCTAGCAGGTAAATCAGACATCCCATCCGCGTCGCACAACCTCCGACTCGCTCCCTTGCCGGGAAGTTTGATAGCACAAACCCCATCTTCTCCACCACGATCACACGAGTCCATCACCGCGACTGAGCAGCCTAATCTCAGAGCCTCTCACTCGGTGCTCTTAGGTGAGCACAAACGTGTGAATGACATCGGCTACCTGCATAGGTGCACTTTTGCCGACTAGATGATGCACGTTACAAGGCAAGGTCGCACTGACAGCTGTCAAAATCTCTGGTGCGTCGTGACATGAGCGCGAAGGGATGGTAGTATCGGTAGTGGCGGACCATGGGCGCGGAGATTGTAGTTGTGACAGTGGTAGCTTGAGTGGCTATTTCGAGGGGCGCACGTGTAATGAGTTGAACGAGGCAATGTTGTACGAGTATGTACATGGACCCGGAGTTCCACTACATGGCTATTGCTCCAAGCTCAGTATAGAATACCAGTTGCGTAGTTTGGCTCGCATATCTGAGCTGACAACTGGTAGCCCTAAGCCGTGCCAATATTGTTCAGTCAGTGTGAGGTATGAATGATTGAACTGTGGAGGGAGGACTGTGCCAGCAAAACGGCAACGTAGTTCAAGTATGGACAGAAATATATTACTAAATACTAAGAAGGGAATCCGAGCAAGCTCGTCATGTTTGACAATTACATACATTTATAAGAAAAAGAATAGACCAGACGTCTTCCCACCGTGTATGTACAGTGTCCCAGGTCACGAATGTGGTCTGAGAGGTGGGAGATCGGTCAAGCTCTGTCTGGTTACTGTTCAGGTACCAGACCATGCCTCGCAAGAGAGAGAGTATTGTGTAGAGCTACCGGTACAATAACACAAGGCTCCTCGCGTCGTTGTCGATGGTCATACTGCAAGTGCAGCTGGCGTATGTACGACTTGCGAAGGATCGAGTGTGCATCGAGTGTTCTGAATCGAAGGTATGAGATGGTGCAATCGAGCAGCTGGAATGGCGGTTGTCGTGGTTCGATGTGAGGGCCGAAGAATATCCTCATCGTGAAGAGGTTTACTCGTGATCGTCTTTGACCGCGCCAACTTTGGCATCCCAAATGGGCCCCCCTCTCTGCGGGCTAGGGGCGGGCGCTGCTACAGCATCGCGATCCCAGATAGGCTTCCCGGGGCTCCACTTCTTGGCAACGGGTGCAGCTCCAGCATCGCGTCCCCAGATAGGTTTCCCGGGCTTCCATTGCTTTAGGCTGGGAGCGGGTACAGCTTCAGCATCGCGTCCCCAAATAGGCTTTCCGGGCTTCCATCGCTGTGGCTTGGGAGAGGGTGCAGCTTCAGCGTCGCGGTTCCAGATAGGCTTCCCGGGCGTCCATTGCTGTGGCTTAGAAGCTGGTGCAGCGACGGGGGCAGGGACTGGCAAAGCCGCACTGTAAACAGTGACCGACAGGATGACGAAGGCGATGAAGGCGGAGATCTTCATGACTTCGAACTTGGATAGATCGTGTGGTAAAGTATCGTGAAGGCCGGAGAGGATCGACTGTTGATCAGATAGTTGGTGCTGATCCTTAAAGTTGCAGACGACGTCGAAAGGTATTGGTGCGTGCTGAGGAGAGTACTTAAGCCTGCAAGAGAGAGGCGTAAACACACGAGAGAACCTAACGGAGGCGTTTTTCTTCTCTATTGACCTCCCAGAACATGAATAGGCCACCTTCTTGCTCAATAGGCGTTCGGGTCGCCCAAGCCCGATAAGTGAAGGTAAGCCTTCAAAGGGATCACTCTGAATGGAGGTCGGTTAAGCCTCAAAGCAAGGTTATCCAGAGCAAAGAGGTCTTCCAGGCCTTCGGAGGCGCTATAGATGACGGATAACCTGCTCCGAGAAGATTCATAGATTGCGGGGGGACGGCAAGCATACACTTTGCGACAAGCGTAACAAGGGATTACTACAATGTTGAAAGCGAGCAAGGCCTGGTGTTGTGGTTACCTCTTTCGGGTCTGAATAGCTTCAATAGAAAAAAGAGGCTTGGCACGGCTCGCGTGCACTCGATATCAGGACAATGACGCGCCACCTTACGAAAGATTGGTTTTACTGGACAAAAAAGAACGCCTTCTTGAAGATTCACGAGTAAGCGACTCAAGATCGAGGTATCGGTGTTACGGAGGTGGCTCGAAGGTGGAGTAGCTTTCATGGAGATGTAATCGAGCAATATCACGCACATTAGCGCATGTCAAGAATGAAATCATGTTTGAGATCGAGAGAAACAGGCTCCAGTTCCACTGATGATTTTGAATTGATCGCAACTTGTGATCTGTAGGACAATGGGTCTCGCCTCGTGTTGGCGTAGGAGGACCATGGTGCAAGTGACTTTGCGAGGGTTTCCGAAGGAGCCGTTGTCCTGGGATAGCAGCGATTCGACCAGCCTCAAACGATAGATGTTTTGAGGGACGGGGAAAATAGTATCGTCGACAACACGATGGCGCGGACTGTCGCTCGCGTGCAGGGTGCACTTTGGGGCGCCTGACGACATATCTCGATGCAACAGGAACACCTGCATGAATGCTCCTTGCCATACACTATGGCCACGTGGGAAAGAGTCTCCTAGTCTGAATCCTTTGAATCGCGGATGGTTCTTGTTTGGCTTGTGGAGCCTATTGGCAACGCAATTGTGATGGGATTACTGGTGGAGAAATCGTCAACAAGGCGGGATGCACCCTCTGAATACGAGTGGCTTCACTCCAGAAGCTCGTTCGACGTCGCCGGTTCCAGCCGGCAATAGCAATGCGAGGGACTCAAGCGATAGGAATACATCGTGGAGTTGGGTTGTCTAAGCAGCCGCCTGGTCCTTAAGGAGCTGATTAAGCTAGCGCCGCACGTGGCACCGCGCCAAAAGTTGCCGCGGGAAATCGTCGCGAATCATTGTGAGACGCCCATGAAAGTATGCATGCGAGAATAGCCAGGTCCACGGCGCCTGCGTTCAGAACGGTGCTTTCGAGCTTGTCGAGGCGGCGATCAGCGTGGGTTTGCTCGTCCTTGCAGGCTGGTAGCGGACGAAGCCGACGACACATTACCACCCAAACGTCCGAGAAGCCCTACTACATCACCACGCCAATATTCTATGTCAATGCTGCCCCGCATGTCGGCCACCTGTATACCATGGTCCTCACGGACGTCATAAAGCGGTGGCATGAACTCAAAGGAGAAAAGGCGTTGCTATGTACTGGAACAGATGAACATGGCCTGAAGGTGGTTTACCTGGCAATGTGCTAGTATTGCACTAATTCTGTAGTAGGTCCAGCGAGCAGCCGCAAAAGCTGGCATTGACCCGAAACTGTTCTGCGATAAGGGTGCCGAGATCTTCAGAGTACGCATGCACGCATGACGAGCCCCCGCCATCTTTACTTACCTGTACGAGGAACTTGCAGCCAAAGCCGAGATCACGAACGACCACTTCGTACGGACGACGGATAGAGAACACAAGGAAGCTGTCGAGTATGCATGGGTACGAGAACTTGACTTAGATGGTGGAAAGCCATGTAGCTGATGGCGGACAGTTCCTGCTACAAGAGAAGGGCCTCATATACGAGCAGAAGCATGAGGGGTGGTATTCGGTCACCGACGAATGCTTCTACCCAAAGTCTGCCGTACAGCCATATCTTGACCCACCTACAGGGAGGAAGATGATGGTAAGATTTTGTCAGTGTGCCATTGTCGATCGACCTGACCAGGCTGCAGACATCAATTGAAACTGGCAGTGAAGTAGAGTGGTCTTCCGAAGTCAACTATCACTTCCGACTCTCGGCGTTCCAAGATAAGTTACTGGACTTCTACAAGAACAACCCCGAATGGATAACCCCGGAGCATCGCATGAAGGAGGTTGTGCAAGCGGTCGAATCAGGACTGGAGGACCTGTCTGTGTCTCGACCGTGTGAACGACTAACGTGGGGTATTCGAGTTCCCGGAGACGACTCGCAGACCATCTACGTATGGCTTGACGCACTCATGAACTATGCGACCAAGGCAGGATACCCATGGACACCGGGCCGCGAACAAGCAGGAGGCTGGCCTGCGGACTGTCATGTCATTGGCAAGGACATTGTTCGATTCCACTGCATTTACTGGCCCGCCTTCCTTATGGCTCTTGGACTTCCATTGCCCAAGAAGATCCTGACACACGCTCACTGGACTCTTGGAGGGTCCAAGATGTCCAAATCTACTGGCAGGGTTGTCGATCCTTTTCACGCCCTTGATCGGTTCGGTCCAGACGTTATGCGCTTTTACATGGCTCGCGAGGGTGGCATACAAGACGATGCGAGCTATGACAATTTCCGCATTATTGGTTTGTACAACAAGTTCTTGAACCAGCAACTTGGCAACCTGGCTTCTCGGGTTACACGAGGCAAGAAGTGGAGCGTCCGTGGCGCAGTCGAACGTGTTGGTGGGTGGCCAGCGGAGGAGTGGGCGGAAGGACCGGGCTCCAAGTTCCGGAATAATTCTCTTGCTACTATCGCCTCGCAAGTAGACGCATCTTTTGATGTCTACGATCCACGTAAAGCCGTGTCCCAAATCGCAGAGTTTGTCCGAGGGGTAGGTTTCCAGACTCTTCTTTGTGTCATCTTACTAACTTGATCAAGTCAAATGCTTTCTTTCAGATGTCGCAACCCTGGGACAAGGTCTTGACCTTTGGCCCAGGAGAGCCTGGCGAAGATGTCGACAAGATTATCTATCTTGCTGCTGAATCACTTCGTATCACCGGCATTCTACTACAGCCATACATGCCGAACAAAGCACGCATGCTACTTGATCAGCTAGGTGTACAGCAAGATCGAAGAACCTTTGAATACTGCAAGCCTGGCGCGGATCTAGACTACGGAACTCCGTTCGTGGAGCTGGGTGCAGCGCACAAGGGTGTATTGTTTCCCCCGCTGCCGAGCGAAGGATAAGACTCAAATGTGGTGTACTATATGTATTTGTAGTTACGAAGCATTGGCAATGAAATAAGTCAGAACATGATTACATGCACATTTGGTGAAACTATGGGGCACATATTTGCATCAGCGCTTAAGTTGCTCAGGTTCGATTGTCAAAAGATGCTGTCGCAACAACTCTTTCTGGAAGTACAATCTGTACCTCCGGCATTGCTTCTTGACAGGTGAATTTGGGCAGGAGCTGATCCCGTGTTGCTGGGGCCTAATGCCAAGACTACATCATCGGTCGTCGCGCGAACTTTAGATTTGTGAGTGAACATTCCCTACGACAGCACATTCACAAACACCACAGTGCCTCCACGCCTCTCGATTCAGGGGCCGCATCTAAATTACCCAAACTCTACACATCTTTCTCTAGCGATTGCGAAACCACAATACAAAGCATCGCGCACGCGCCTCCACGCAGGATTACTTCACCATGGCCGCCCCCAAGCCGGGCGGCTTCAAGATGTCGCTCGGGGCACTGAAGACGAAGCCAGGACTGAAATCCTCTCCCGCGCAGAAAGACACCAAAAAGACCAAGCTTTTGCTCGGTGACGACGAACCAGACGATTCGAACACGCAACAAGAGATTACGGGATGGGACGCAGCAGAGGGCGGCGCGGTCGATGCCAACGGGAAAAAAGAGAAGGAAGGACCGCGCATCATTCCAGCTTTACCCAACCGCGATTGGCGCGCAGAGGCACGGCGGAAACAACTTGCGAAAGCACCCCATCAGCAAGCGCAGAATGCCACGATCGATGAGAGCAAGATGGAAGAACCGAAGGTGCAATATGGCCTTACAATAATCAAGAAAGACGAAGCGCAAAAAGATGGAGCTGAGGAAGCTGAAGCTGCGGAACCCATGGAGGTGGAGCAGGACAATCTTACGGAGGAGCAGCGGCTCGAGAGGAAAGCGCTCGACGCGCTGATCAGCGGCAAGTCTACGGACAACGACCTCGTCATTCCTGTACAGTCAGAAGAGGATGCACTCTTGAACGACCTCAACAATGCGCCCGACGCTCCCACCCTCGAAGCCTACGAAGCTACACCGATTGAAGGCTTCGGCGCGGCTTTACTACGTGGTATGGGCTGGAAGGATGGAGATGCAATAGGCAAAAACGGCCCTGCTGCGAAACCGAAAGAAGTCAAACGGCGACCAGCGCTACTTGGCATAGGCGCAAAAGAAGACGCTGCGATAGGCGTTGAGCTAGGGGAATGGGGTGGTGGCAAGGGTAAAGGGAAGAAGGTTGCGCAGAGCTATAACCCTGTTACGCTGCGGAACAAGGTTACTGGTGAGATGATCACAGAAGAGGAGCTCAAGGCAAAACTGGAGGCCCAGAGCTTGATCCCAGATGACAAGCCCTCGAAAAGCAAGAGCAAATACGACGACGACAGCGAAGAAGACGAGCGAAGGCGCGAGAAGCGGAAAGAAAAACGAGATGACCGCGACCGCGACCGCCGACGAGACGATGACTACGACAGCGAACGGAGGAAAGACAAAGACCGTCGAAGAGACAAGGACGACTACTACGACAGCGACCGCCGCCGAGACAAGCGGAGAGAACGAACCCGAGACGACGACTACGATAGCGAACGCAGGCGCGAAAAGCGAAGAGAACGTAGTCGCAGCCCGGACGACCGAAAAGAAAAGCGCCGCGATCGGTACCGCAGCAGGAGTCGAGACTCGAAACGGAAGAGCGATAGGAGGGATCGTAGTCGCAGTCGTGACTCAGAGGATCGCAGGAAACGGAGGAGAGATAGGGAGTATGAGGATGACGAGAGGTATGAGAAGAGGCGTAGGGATGACAAATACTACAAGTAGAGTTTAGACAGGTTGGGCATAACGGTATCAGACAGTATGAGACTGCATGCATCTGGCGTTTTCGATCGGCATCTCACGGGCATAGCATAGGCACGAATGGGCATCTTTAGTACAATTGTTAAAGGCAAAGCTAAGAAGGCTACATTGCCTTGATAATTTACAGACTTGAAATGTAGACTTCAGGGCTTTTGTCCAGGTTTTCTCTTGGTGATGAAAGTATGCAATTCAAGGTTCCACTACACTGCGCTATCTCGCTGGACTCCGACCAGGTGTTTGGATAGATACGTAAATAATTCATACGACCGTACAGATCGAGAGTTTCCCAGAACTTGGTGAAAACACATTGACTTATTAGTTTGTTGATGTTGTGTCTAAGCTGTGAATGCGGAACACTACTTTTTTTTAAAAAAAATAAAATAAACTGATTGTGGGGTTCTAGTATTTTTCTGGTTGACGTTCGGCATGAATGAATTTATCTGCTTCATATTTCACATGCCTCTGAACAAGAAGATTGAGGTAAGGTCATATAAATATCTGCTAGGGGGGGTTTTCTTTCTTCTGCTCACTTCTGGATCAATCATCTTGAAGTCTGTGGAAATACACGGGATTCGGGAGACGTTCCCACTCACCTCCAAATTGAGTCACCAGTCTACCTTCGGTGTCAAGAAAGTACAGTCGCTTATTGCTTCGTTGAATGTGCTCGTGCAGACATGCCAGCACAACGCGGTTGAGTAACACGGTACATAATCACAATGCAAGTGTACATCCACAGTATAATATCTTTTGTCATGAATATTTAGTTTATTGTTTGATTCAGTCCCGTGGCTCACTATATACACCCGATGCATAGCAGAAAAGCTCATTACAGTATCATCTCATTCCATTCTGTGCCATATTAAATATCATTTACTAGTACGTTGATCCGCCATCGAGACAACACTTATGCGTGCTTCATTCCTAAATCGTGACTATGCAGTGCAAATGAAATAATCCAAACGCCAGTGGTATAGATGAATGCCAAAAGCTCAAAGCAAAATAAACCGGATATATACAAAACGGGGTATACATAGGAAAATTAGAAATTACGCGAGGGGAGTGGGGAAGGGTCCTGCGCAGGCATAGGGTAACCGTTTCCGGTGTGTGATACGTAACCGTTGACCTGACCGTTGGTAAGGGAGTTGCCGTTGGTGTATCCGTTGGTGTAGCCATTGGTTGTCGGGACGGCCATTTGCGAGTTGCCCCGGTAGTATTGCTGGCTATCTGCAGCGCCATCGCTCATGTGGTGGTGGTGATGGGTTCGTCCTGCCTCGCCGCTCTCCTCAAAGACTTGCATCTCGGTCTGCTTGGACTGGTGATTCTTGGTGCGTGTGGCAGGTAGGAAGTCGATGAAGAAGCTGAAGACATAGAAGCAGTAGATGAAGGATACACACCATTCGAGGACAGCAGCCACGTTGTAGATGTGCTGCTTAGAGCATACCGCAAAGGCGATGGCGAGGCACACTTCGGTGATGATGAAGAAGAGTTTGATCCAGAAGGAGATTCGGAGGATGGAGTGCTCGCGGTAGTGTATGCCTAGGCGTTGGTACTCCCAGCAAATGAAGATTGCCGAGACGATGTAGCCGATGATGAATACACCAAGAAAGATGTTATGCAGTCTGTTGTGGTTCTTGCAATCGAAGATAGTGAGGAGGATCAGACCGGCGGCACCGACTATGGCGGCAACGGTTGCGCAAGCTGAATAGATCTTCTGCCAGTGAGACGTGTTTGGCGCAAGTTTGTTGGTGTGTCGCAGCCAGCGCTCGAAGATGAAGGCGAGATCAAAGGTTACGACAGTAACGGCGGACATGGCAATGAACATGGCTTTGAGGTAATCCGCACCGATATCTGGATGCTGTTAGCATTGCATGGATCGTTGAGTTCCCATGTTGCATAACTCACCAGAAATGTAAGGAATGTTTTGCCCGTTGCTCATCGTCACATAGTGCGGCTTGCCGGTGGCAGCCCAGTACACCAACATGGTGATGAGCATAGCAGTCCATACTACTGCGGAGAAGATGGGGACGACCCAATACGAAAGCCCCAACATGCTGGCTGATATCCCTCGATGGTCTTCAGAGATTTGTGGGTAGAACGGCGATGAGTCCTGTTGCGACTCCAAGGGGTATCCAACGCGCCTGCGACGGGAGTGTGCGGATAGGGCAACGCGGCACGCGACCAGAGGGTGAAGTGACGGAAGTGAAGCAGAAAAGACACGAGGATGCGATCAGCAGCAGGGAGCAGGCCTAAGAAGATGAGAGGGGACCAAAAGCAGATATGATGGCAGGACAGTCCGCGGCGCAATGAAAGTCTCATACAAGCGGTGTTGTTGCTAGGACGCGACTATGATGTCACGGCTCCACGACTAAGCCGGCTTGCGTAAGATCCCGCCGCCTCCGATTCGATCGCTGTGCTGGACGTCACCAGCAAGGCGCAGACGCTTCGATTGCGCGGAGTGAAGATCGTGAATGCTTCCCAACACCTTCGGACGAGATCTCACACGAATCTTGGAAGGCGTATTGATGATGATGCGGCGATGAGCCTCTGCGGGTGTGGCTTCTGCAGAGTCGCGATAGGACTAACGCCATGTTCGTGCGGCTGGCGCATCGATTCTGCCTCAACAACCTTGAAATCGAGATTCGAGGGCCAGACATCGCAAAACTCGATTTCGCTCAAACGCAACGCAGAGTTTCAGCGTCAGCGCTACAATGACACGTCCGAGGACCAGGCTGCTGTCGCAGCGAGAAACCCGTCGTTGTGAGGTCCATGTGACTTACGATGCTCGGCAGTATTGCGCGGCCTGATATGGCTGTCACTCCGTCGTGAGGTGGAGCGCGTTGCTAGTGGTGTGCGACATCCAGGCCTTCAGCGGTCCGGCCTTGATAGTATTACAAAACTGTTCCCGAACTCCAGTATGGCCTGTTGCTGGTGCAAGTGCATAGCAGCCTGTGATATGGTTTCGAGACCAGTCGATGCATTCGGGCTTTTATCCAGAACCCGGGGTAGGTGCGCGCAACTGTGTCGCGTATGTCGCGCGTCGGATCTGCCACCTGATCAGCCTACTTACTGCAGTCCTTTCTTCCTGGAAAATTGCTGCCACTTATTTCTTGGTCGGTAGCAGGAGTAGCGGTGACTAGGTGTCCTGCGAATACGTGGCGGGGATGATAACGTGCGTAGCCAGAACCCTAGGACAATCACGATGCGACATGGAAACAAAGACGGACTGTTGATCGGAGATAACCCACTGTCTACTCAACCTGCGATCGTCAGGTTCACGTATCCGCTACAAGAATTGAGGGAAAAAGGAAAGCGACGAGTACCGCGCGAACTGTTCATGCATGCTGCATGCATGGACCAAGGCGAAGACCAGGGAACTACGGCAAAAGACGTCTGGGATGGCGACACGGCCAGCCACTGTGCTGGCTAGGAGCACCGCCACGCTTTATGTCGCGAGACGCGTATATCGGCAGAGCCACAACAAACCAGCTCGCCTAGCTTTTCCTGGTGTGGATCTTTCACAGCCGTGGCATGACTTGTGCATGTTGACTTTCTACTTTGCCATGGTTTGAGGCTTGCAGAGGTCCGATCAGCCGTTAGTTCACCGATACGGCAAAAAGCATCTGGGATCCAGCCTTCGCGTTGCGCATGCATCACGGCGCCCCGCCTTGATTGGTTGCGGCGCTCGTGCGTGCAGCAATCTTGATTGGCAGATTACTCCAATCCTCGATGCAGCCTGCATTGTCCGGTTTCATATCGACCTTCTTCCAAGTTTGTTGCTACTTAGACCAGCTCAGTCTTTGCCTGCAACGTGCAGCGCTCGTAGTTCCATGCCTGGCGTCCACGACACTTGTAGCCGGTAACGCTAGACGCCCGTTCTCGCGGGGACATATTACTTATTCCTCAATATCCCTCCACTTGGTCCGCCAGTCTTAGTGTACCGCCGGACTACGCTTTCATGTTTGCATACCAGCCTCCGTACTGATAACGCTGCAGCTCCGAGGACTTTATAAAGGTACGCAGCGGACCTGCCATCTTGCCTGGCATTCACGAACTACACTTAACTCTCTCAGTAGCTACTGCAGTCCCGATGCATCAGTGCCAATAGTTTTGAGCGCCGTCGCTCTCCAACCCCACTACCACCTTCAACATGGGGAACCAACCCAGTACCGAGAACCACAACAAACTGTCCAAACCGAGGACCAACACCAATTCCTCGAGCGCGGCGGTGAAGTTCGACTCCCCGCAACCCACGGCATCTAGATCGGCAGATCTCACACCCGAAGGACGCCAACAAATCAAAGATGCACTCCTCTCACCTATCGCTAGCGAGTTCGACCCCACTACATGGACACACGAGGACGATGGGTTAGGGGAGGCCACAAAGACGCGTGGTCGCGCATCGACAGTTGGTTCGAGATCGAACTCGCGAACAAACTCAAGAGCCAATTCCCGAACCAATTCTTTGTCGTGTTTCCGGAGCAAGCACAGCTCGGCAGCCCAACTTACTGGCCTAGCTGACTCCAAGCTGTCTTTGGCTTCTGTCTCACATGTGGATGTTGCCGAGGCAATTCGACTCTTACAACAAGTCAAGAAGAACGGCACGCCAGAAGATCTTGCGGCGCTGCAAGAAGTCCTCGAATCACCTGAGGAGCCTCCCCAGCCGGTAGCTGAGGCACCTCCTAGCAGAAGAACTTCGCTAGTCGATCGATCTTCTTCTTCCCTCACACGCCGTCAGTCCCTGGTCCAGACACCTGGTGTAGGCACCCGACACTCTCCTATCGAGGGACGTCGCAGGACATGGAATTCATGGAAAGCGCCGAAGCTCACCCCTGAAGAAGAGGCAAAGTGGCAACCAAAGTCAAAGGCGAAGGCGCATTTGAGCCCTCAAGCAGCTCTTCGTTTGTCTGATGAACATCGCGATAACGACACAGCGCGAGCCCACACCCCGTCAGACCTGGATTATGCGCATCTAGGGAACCTACAGCCAGGAACTCTCGTCGTCACGAACGGTGCGGCATCGCCTGTCCCCAGTTCAGAGACTTTAGAGTTGCGCAAGACTGAAGACGAGGACTATTTTGAAGCAACAGAGTATGCCTCCAGTCCGTTGATGATCAAGTCAACACGCCGGCGAGCTCACACAAGGAGCAAGTCAGCCGCAGTTCCAGCAACTTGTTCATTGTATGAGCTGGAAGCCAACGAAGTGGCCACACCTTACGATTCGGAGACTCCGGTAGTTATGATGGCGTACACGTCTGAGCCGCAACCCATCATTGAAGACGAATCCCCAAAGTTTCTGCGGCTCACGCCCCAGAGCAAAAAAGGTGCAGCGCAGTTCGCCCAGAGCTATCAGGATGATATCCCATTAAGCCCGTTTCTTGCCTCCGAGGAGACGACCGAGCCCAAACAGCGGGAGCCTTCTCCTACCTTGCCAGAGCCCAAGCCTCAGCCTGAAATCGAAATCTCAGCGCCTTCGTCCCCATCGACCGCGCCCACCTCCAACAAGTCAAAGAGTAAAGCTTCTCAGCGGCCAGCACCACGTACGACGGATTCTGGCTACTCATCCGCTGCCAGTTTACGGATAGTCGATCAAGAGTCGACGGAAAACGCCACCACCATTCTGTGTCATCGGTGCAACGACTCGCCGCAAATGGTTGAGGTAAACCAGGGACGCGAGACTCGCCGTTCGATTCTTGTGAAACAGAACCGTCAATTCGTGGAGTCACCGACTACCACGAGCGATTCGGATGGCTCAACTGAGAGTGGCAGATCCAAGCAATTGCTGTCAGTCAATGTACAGAAGGCGCGATACCTACCAGCACTGAACAGTCCGGTCCCGTCCACTAGCTCTTCTACCAGATCGTCGACGTCTGAGTGTGTACACTCGCCCACGACACCCCGATCCATTAGTTCAAGGGCGTCGTTTGACAGTGCTTCATTGAAACAGCAGAAGCGGTTTCACAAGAAGCGGCCGTCCCATGCGGAACATCCTATTGTTCAGTCGTGCCAGCCAATCCCAGAGGGGACGATTCCTGAGGTCCCAACTAAGGTGCGAGCCAAGTTTGAGCGACGCGTGTCGAGCTCTCCGGGCATGGATTGCTTGACGCACACCTACCCAACGAAAGAGCACGTTTCTGTGGACGATTCAACCATGGAGGCTTCTGCTCCGGAGCAGACTGAGTTCAAGCCACTCGCTGAGTTGGAGTCTGAGCGTGCACCTACACCCCCTGCTCATGGTCGTCGCAGAAGCTTATCCTTCTTTCGAAGGAAGTCTGCCCCTGCACAGAGTCAGAATGAGCAAGAGCCTGAGCAGGCTTCACTTGATGTGGTTCATCTTGGTACCATCACCTCATCACTTGGCACCTCTCCGTACGACATCGCCATGTCCGACACCCCAAGACAGCGTGTCGTTTCTCCAACCCACCCACATCAACTAGGCAGCTCTTTGCCTCGATCCAAGTCTATGGTGACCATGGATAGCAAATCTGCCGCAGAGTTTGCGCGCCTACACAGCAAAGACCTATCCGTCGCCGGACGGGACAGGCCTCCTCAACAGCGCCGTAAAAGCTACCACAACATGAACAAAGAAAGTGGTGAGGCTACGGCATCGAGACTTCGCCCTCAGAGCGTCGATGTTCCACCTGTGCCATCCATCAACACGGCCAGGCTTACTGTCCCGCAGACTGGTAGGCCTCAAGGACCCAGGGCTGCTCCCAGCCCCAGGCCTCGCAGTCCGAGAGGGTCTCCCCCAATGATCAGATACGGGTCGCCTCCACAAAAGCTCCCCCCTCAAGGTGTGATCTCGCAAAGGCAGTCCCAGGTCTGGCATCAGCGCCGTAGGACGCTGGGAGACCGTTTGTACTCGGATGTCAACCTGGACCTATACTCGGATCCAAACGACGCGTCCAACAATGCGAGTCCAGTCGAAAGTCCAATCGAAATGACTCCTCCTAAAGAAGTCAAGGCTCCTAACAACATGTCCAGTTGGGATCGCTTTAGCGGGGGTTTGGAGTACAACTACGAACATGGGGCAGGCATTGGAGGCAGCGCCGGTACGCGTTCGCACCACAGTAACGCCTCGCTGAAGTCGCTGGCCTTCCAGCACCAGTACGGCGTGGACCTGTCTGATGTACCCATCATGATCCGGTATCAGTCGTGATCCAGCGCGTCTAAGAAGGGAGTAGGTTTCGGCTTGCGGCGTTATTATTTACCATAATCAAGTAGCATTCACATGTTAC